GCTCCTTTAACTCTTTTTGGGGCTGGGGTTTTTTTGAAGTCCAAATTCCGCGTTCGGGGCGCGCTCCTGCCCCACAGCTGCTTCCCCGCTCCCTGCAACGACGGAGTTTTGTTTGGGAATCTTTGTGCTCCCTCAGTCCCAAAAGCAACCCCACTCCTTCCTTGAAATGGAGAGGGATCCGTGGCTTTTGGAAAACAGTCGGATTCCCGACGGCTTTTCCGTAACCTTGGTGTTTTGTTGCTGCTTTGGGAGGCGGGAGGGAACTGAGTCCCGGAGCGAGATGGAGTTTGACAGCTCTGGCTCTGGGAGCTCTTGCTGGCAGGGAATTTTTCCTGGAGGTGATTCCCAGACTGGATAGAGCCAGGTGGCCCCGCCTCATCCGAGGTGGAAGGAAGGAAGGAAGGGAGGAAAGGGAATGCTCACGAGGCAGGGAAGTTCCCGGAGCTGCAAAACTCCTTGGAAGAGTCTTGGGATCAACCCAGCAGGTGAAACACGAGGAATTCCGACCGTCCTTCCATGGACCCCCTGGGCGGTTCCTCACCTCCCCATTCAGGGAATGATTTCCTGGCCAAAATTCCCCAAAAAGCAGGACACCTGCAGTGGGAATGATCTGGGGCTGAATCCCACCACAAAGCCGAGGGATCCACAGGGATCACGCAGAGAACCATTAAGGGAGGGATCCATGGATTCACCTGGAACACCGTCCGGGCTGAAAATGCTTTTATTGGGAGCTTTGCACAGGGCAGGAAAAGGGGGTGAAACACAGGGAATTCCCACCACCCTTCCATGGACCCCCCTCGGCGGTTCCTCACCTCCCCCTCCAGCCTCGCTTGAGGTCTCCAGGCCGTGCTGGAGGGATGGAGTTCCCCCGGGATCCGCCCTGGCAATCCCTGGCGGAGGCGCTCTCGCGCCTTTGCTGCCGGTTCCGAAGGGAGCGTTGGCTTTGAGGGAACGTGGCTTTGGAATTCGCCGGCTGCCTCCAAAACCAACCGAGCTCCTGCCAGAGGGAATTTTATTCTCCCTTAATTTCCAGCACTTTGCCGGGAGTTTTTTTCACCCCTTTCCCCAAGCCTCTGGCTCTCCAGGAGAGGCTTTGGAGCGGCCTCATTCGTAACCCGACCTTGCCTTTGGCTGCGCCTGGATCCTGACAACTCTTCCCGACCTTAAAATCTGCCTCCAGCCAATCCCAGGAAGACAAAAGACAGATTCCCTGCTGGCTCTGGAGCGTTCCTGTGGGAAAAGTTTTAGGCAACCGGGGTTCTCCAAAGCTGCCTGGTTTATTCCCACTTTATCCCACGGGAGCACCAAGCAGCCCAAGGAATGTGGTTCCACCTCCACGAGCCTCCAGTCTCCTCCTGGGATCGGGAAAATCTTTGGCAAACTGTGCTCCTCACCGTCCCACGGGGCATGGATACCGTGGGACCTTGGGTCTTTCACTTCCCAGGGATTTTTCCATGGATTCATGGGGCTTGGCAGCTGTGGGATCAGCTCTGAGCTCCTTCCTGGCAAAGGCAGGTGTTCCCTGTGGGAAGGGGCAGGGGAGCAGCGGTGGGGCGGAGCGGAGGGTATTACAGCTCCTGAGAAACAAGCAGGGACTATTCCAGGGCCGCTTCCCAAGCTTTAGGAATCCACCAGCGCCCATCAATCCATCCCAGCTCCTCTTCCTCGCTCCTTCCGGCGGCGGCGGCGAGGTCGGGACCGGCGGGGGCTCCAGCCAGCCCCGAAATGAGAAACGTAAATACGGAATATCAAAACCAGACCTGCTCCAGAGAGGAACTTTGACATCGCCACAGATCCGAAGAAGAAAGGGAAAAGCTCTGGCACAGAAATCCCTCATGACATCATTTTCTGGGAGCGCGGTGCCAAAACGAGGCTGGCTCCGGGAGCGAGAGCTCCGCTGCTCCTCGCCAGGGCCACAGAATTTTGGGATTGGAAGGGCTTTCATATCCCTGCTGCAGGAGAAAGGATGGCAGGGAGGTTTTCCCCGTGGGAATGATTCAATTCTTATCAGTAACAACAAGGAAGAGAAGGCTTGTCAGCCCTGACGTGGATCTTCCTTCCCAACTCCTCCAAAATCCACTGGAAGCTTCCACCAGGAGCCCCGAACCCACAGAGCTGCTTGGTGGCAGAGCAAAACCGTGATTGGAGCTCGGGGAATTTTTCCTGCTGTTTATCATCCCCAGTTTTCTGCAAATTATGGAGAGCTCTGTCAAAATGCCTTCCCTCGAAACCTTCCCGTTCCAGACCTCTCCCAGCAGCTCCAGGGAATAAAAGCCCCTTCTCCAGTCTCGAGCTGGGAAGTGAGCTGGGATTTTCCCAGGCCATGGGCTGGGGGCAGCGGAAAACTTTGGGGGGGAAGTTTTCCAGAGGTAAAAACCTGCTGGATTCCCCTGGAAATGAAAAACTCCCTATGAAGAGGGAGCGTTAGGACATGCCTGAGGGAGCTGGGAATCAAATTCCCGTTTCCAAGCGCAGCTGAAGGAGTTGCGGGCAGGTTTATAATCCTGCAAATGAGGGGGGGATTTGCAGCTTCTCCGGAGAGCTGGGCATGGATTTTTCCGAGTTCCTGCATGAGGAGGGGGATTTAGCTCCGAGGAACCCAAAGGATTTGCACCAATCCGACTTTGGGAATTTTAGATGGGCTCTTTTCCAGCCTGGGCGTGTGAGGGCCCAGTCTTTGGTAGCTCGGGATCATCCACAGGATGACGAGCCTGGATCATCCCTGGGCCATCCCTGATCTCTGAGGGGATCCCCTCCAGCCCCTTCCAGCTTCTCCAGACACAATCCGGAGCGAGGAGCACCAGAATCCCGGGAAATCGGATCCAGTGCTGCTGCCAAACATCTGCCAGCCCACTCCCCCAGCCCATTCCTACAGCAGAGGGATGGGATCAAACCCTTGGGATTCCAAACGTGCCGGGAAGGAGATCTGGGCTCCGGCAGCAAGTCTCCAGGAGCATTCCCTGTCCTGCTCCGTGCTCTCCAAAGGGCGCTAAAGACACCTGGAGCAGGTGGAGCCGATGGGAACGGGTCCAGCCTCGGGTTTTTCCCGGACTGAGAACCCCATTCCATCCCAATTGTCGTGTTCCAAGGGACAGGATGGATTTTGACACCACCGTGGCTGCACAAGTGTCAGAGCTGACTGTTCCCATCAATTCCCAAAGCTCTGCTCCCATCAAGTCAAATTTTCCCGGGATTCTGTGGGGCCGCCTGGTTTGTGGCCAGGCAGAGAAGCTCCTCACCTCGCCCTGCCTAAAAACCCGATTGCATTTTATTTATTTGGGGGAATTTCTGCTCCCAGCGGTTTTTCCATGAGCTGAGGTGCCCCGGGCAGGCACTGAATTCCCCCAGGGATATTCCCAGTGCTCCCATGGGAATACAGATCCCGAGGGCGTTTTCCCACCCCCTTTGTCCCTCCTCCCTGGGCTCCCCAAGCCACCGTGCCCTGGAGCCTCGTCACAGATTCCAGCCGCTTCAGGACCTCTGGATTGGGGATTTTGGTGGCTCTGCCTGCCCCGGGAGTTCCGCCGGGAGCGGGGAAATATTTTGGGGATGTTTAAGGAGGAAACGCCTTCTCCTCTGGAAATCACGGAAAGGGCGTTTTTAACCCCAGCCAGGGAGTGCCCAGGAATGCCCCACAGTGGCTGTGGAGGGATGCTCGGCATCCAGACGTTTTCCCAGGCTTTTGGCAGGTCCATGGCAGTCCTGGAAGGGAATAGCTCGGGTGCTCGTGCACCATCCCGGCAGGACAGGAACGGAGAGGGTCGGACTCCAGCCTTGCTCATCCCAGGGCCCCCAGTCCCACATCCAGAGGGATATTCCTGCCTGGAATGAGGAGACGAGGAGCCCCAGCCGGTGCTGGGAGCCGGCACTTGAAGGGTTTTGCTGTCCCTCGTCATTCCCAAAGCTGCTGTTCCGCACTCCGGATTGCGGTTTTTAATGGATAAACGCGGTTCCTCCTCTGTTTCAGGTGACTCCTCCGTCCTCACATCCCTGAAATCCGCTCGGCCGCAGTCGGGCCGCAGATCCTGCCCTGGGACCGCGCTCTCCCCTCCCTGCATTTCCCAGCTTTCCCCTCCGAGCTCTGCGCTGCGGATGGAATTCCATCCTGCCTTCAGCACAGGCAGCACCGAATTTTGCCCCGCCGAGGCTGGAGAAGAAATCATTTCCCGGGCCGGGCTGCGGCTGGCAGCTCCCGGCTCCCTCCCGGCTCCCTCCCTCCCTCCGCAGAAATCCCGGCGTGTTTTCTGCTGCCAGGATATTCCCTCCCTGCCCACACAATGGAGGGATCCCCGCCAGCGGCGGCGGCCGGGGGAGCCAGGGAATGCCAAGCCCCATCCTGAGCGCATCCCAGGCGGCTGCCGGGACCGGGAGGGACACGGAGCCCCGGGATGCGGGAGAACGCCGGGAGGAAGCTCAGGGAGCGATTCCAAGGGATCCCGGAGAGCCCTGGAGAGGCTCTCCCCGAGGGAGGGAGGGAGGGCACCGCGGCGTGCCCACCGTTGTCACTTTTTATTGAGGTTCCTTGCTATAAAAATATCCCACAAAACGTCCTGGCGCTCTTGGTCCGGTCCCATTCCGGGGCAGGGGTGCTGGAGAGGGGCTGGAGGGGAGGCTCCAGCACGGATGCTCCTCGGGGAAGCCAGGAATTGCTCCCCTGGGCTGGGACAGAGCCAGGAATGCTCCCGGCAGTGCCTGGGGGGCGGGGGTGGGATCACAGCATCCAACGGTCCTCGGGAATACGGGGCAGGAGAAGGGAAAACTGAAAGCGAGGGGGAGAAAATAAAATAATAAAATAAAATAAAATAAAGAAGGAAGGCTGAGTCTCTTCCGTGGTCCCTTCCCGGTCCAAGGGAGGCAGAGCGTCCCTGCGGGAATGTCACCTGTCACCGCCCGGGCCGTGCCCGTGTCCCCGCTCCGGCCTTCGCTCCCGGGCCGCGGGAGCTGGCGGCGACATTCCAGGAGTTCCAGGAGTCCCTGGGCAGCTGCTCTCGCTGGCGGCTCTAGGACGAGGAGGTCGGGATGGAGATTCCGTGGATGGCGCTCAGGGGCTCCGGAGCTTTCCCCGCGGGGCTGGGGGGTTTTCTGTCCAGCCCTGCAGGGAGGGGAGAGGGAAAAGCACAGAGCGGGCAGGGCATGGAGGGACTCCGAGCCCCAAAATCCGGCCCCGAGTGTCCCCAGGAGCTCCCCAAAGCCGGGGTGTCCCGGCACGGAGGGGGCGGCACCGCCCCACCCTTCCCGAGGTGACGGAATTCCCGCTGGGCTCCGGCCCCAGCTCAGCCCTCGGGAATTCCACCTTCAGCCAGAGCGGGATCTTCATCCCGCGGCTGCCGGGGACGCCGGGATAAACCGGGATAATCCGGGAGACTTTCCGGGACAATCCCGGGAAAGCGGGGAAGGGCTGGAATTGCCTTCTGCTTTTCCTTCCTTCCTTCTTTCCAGCCTTTTCCCATTTTTCCCACTCAGGTACCCCCGCAGACCCCTCCACCCTTCCTCCTGCAGCTCGTTTGTGGGATAATCCAGCATTTTCCTGGTCCCGGTGGCAGAACCAGGAAACCGATCCAAAAGGGGGGGGAAAAAAAAAAAAAAAAAAAAAAAAAAGAAAGAAAAGAAAAAAAAGGAAAAATTTCAAAGAAACTCTAAAGAGAAAAATAAAAAACAATTTAAAAACCACCCGCAAAGAAACCCCCACCAATAAATCAAAAATCTACAAAGGTTTGGAGAAAGTCTGGGGACAAAACAGCTTAAAAATGGATAAATCATAATTCAGGTTCTAAATAACTTAAAACACTTGGAAAATACGTTAAATACGCAGAGGTGGTCGTTTTATATCCTTAATTTTTTCTTTCCTCCTTTTTCTCTTTTTACTTTTTTTTTTTTTAATTCCTTTTTCTTCCTTCTCTCCATTCTCCTTCTCTCTTTATTTATTTTTTGTTTTTTAAACCTTTATATACTCGGTTTAAATTATTTCTTTTCACCCCCAATCGCCCCTCCCTGGCACAGCTGAGGTTACAACTCGCAGCAGGTCAGATATGGTAAAATAATTAAAAAACAAACAAACAAAAAAACCCCAAACAAACGAACAAAAACCAAAAAAACAGAAAAGCAACTAAACTAAAATTTTAAACCCCAGAAAAAACAACATTTAAAAAAAAAGGGGCCAATAAAGCGGGAATTATTCTCAAACTGAATTAAATAATTCTCAAATATGAATTAAAATAATAGGAAGTCAAATGCTGCGGGGAAAAATATAAAAATATCGAAGGGGATTTTATAGGCAGGGCGGCAAAATCGGGGTTTTTAAAAAGAGGGACTCGAGCTCTATTAATGAAGAGAAATAATTAACGGGAAATAAAAGCAACTCCCCCTTCGACAGCCTCAAATTGCTCCCCTGGGATTCCCGGCGGAGCGCTCGGAGGGAAAGGATTCCCGAATAATCCCGGGAAGCGATTAAATCAAATGACAGTTGATGATGATAATTAATAACTAAACCAAACCGCTAAATCACTGCTGTCAGTTGATAATTGATCGGGAATTCCTAGGAATTAGCGATTCCCGGTCAAGGCTTCTGCTTTCCCGGACAAGCTCCCGGTTCCTGGGGCCGGTGTCGGTTTTTGGGAGCTCGGGGAGAGGCTCCGGCCGCGTTCCCGGGGGGAAGGAGGAGCTGCCCGGGAATCTCCGGGCATTCCCTGGCGGCTCCCAGCGAGCGGGAATGGGAACCCCAGCGCACAGCCGGGATTGGATCCCGGGATGGGGAGGGGGATGCACGGCTCAGACCCCTCCTGAGCCCGGGGGTCCCTCCCGAGCCCGGGGGTCCCTCCCGAGCCCGGGGGTCCCTTCCGAGTCCGGGGGTCCCTCCCGAGTCCGGGGGTCCCTCCTGAGCCCGGGGGTCCCTCCCGAGCCCGGGGGTCCCTCCCCGCGCTGCCCCCGCTCCCTCCCCGCTCACCTTCCCTGCCGGGCTGCTTGAAGGCCGTGGTCAGCTCGCCGCCGGGGCCGGTGACGCCGTGGCCGTGGTGGCCCAGGGGGGTCCCCTGAGGCTGCCAGGGGGGCCCCGGGGCGATGTAGGCGCCGGGGGAGCCGCCGTAGACGCCGGGCTGGCTGGAGGGGGGGTAAGCGCAGGCCGGCAGGAAGGTGCCCATGGAGGAGAGCCCCGCGCCGGGCTGGGGACAGCGACAGCGGCTCAGAGGGGACATGGGGTCCCGGCTCGGGGCTCCCCGGCGTCTCCCCCCACCTCCCTGGCCCCTCCCCGCCTTGTCCTTCCCTGCCCCACCGCCGCCCCAATCCTGCCCCTCCCCTGTCCCCTCGTGTCCCCAGCGGGGATTTGGGGTGGCAGCGCTGCCCTCCCGTGTCCCCTCCGTGTCCCCTGGTGTCCCCAGGCCCACCTGCGGGTATTTGATGTCGCCGTCCATCGCTGCTTTCTCCAGCCCGTTGACCGCCTGGCCCGGCCCGGGAAAGCCGCTCCTGCTCACGCTGGGCCACTCCTCCATTTTTGGGGGGTACGCGGCCCCCTCGGTGCCAGCCAGAGCCCCTGGGGAGCAAAGCGTCAGCCGCCAGCCCCCCCCGGGCCGGGCCCGAGCAGCTTTTGGGGTGAAACAGCCGAAATTGCCGCTTTTCCGATCACCCCGCGCGGCTGGCGGGGCACCGGGATCGCCGTTCCCTCCCGGCACCCCGAAATTCGGGATCGCGCCGCGGGGAGAGGCTGCGCTGTCCCCCCCGAAACCCGCCCTCCCTCTCCCCCTCCCTCCGCCCGTTCCCAACCCCCGATAATTTAGGGCCCCAAATTTCTCTCCCGACGAAGGGGATTTGGAGAAGTGACATCGGAATTTGAAGGATAAATGATTGCGCGGGGGGAAACGCACTCGCTTGGTTTGCTCGGGCTTTTGGGAGGATGAAAGGACCCGCAGCCCCCGCCACGGCCCCGCTTCTGCCCCCCTGGAGCCGGCGGGGCTCGGCCTTGGCTCTGCCGGAGCCCCGAAATTCCCAGATTCCCCGGGAGAATCCAGGAGGCCGCATCCGAGCCGCCTTCTCTTCCCTTTTCTCCCTGGTTTTTCCCCTCCTCTGATTTTTCCCTCTTTTCCCCCCCTTTTCACATTTTTATACATATAAAATTTATTTTTTTTTTTAATCCCCCCTTTGCGGAGCGAAATTCAGGGCTCCGAATTTGCGGTCGGCAATCTATCATCCCTAGGAAAATATTTTCCACATTTTTCATAAAAAGTTCAAGATGTGGCTGAGCCGAGGCCGCATCTGGCCCCGACGGGCTGCTGGGGCTGGGGGAGGCCCTTGGGAGAAAAAAAGGGGGGAAAATAGGGGGGAAAAACCCCAAAATTTAAACGGGAAATGTACGGAAAAACAACAACAAAAAAATTGCAAGGAACAGCAAAACGGGAAAGAAACAACAACAACAAGAGCGCTCGAAATAAACGAAGAGGCTGAAACCAATAAAAAAGAAGGAAAGACGCAGAAAGGCACGAAACGAGCAAAGAGGCACGGAGCAAATAAAAAGCCGAAACAAGCAAAAAGTCCCCAAAAGGCACGGAACAAACAAACCCCCCGAAACAAATAATAAAAAATAAAATTTAAAAAAAAAAAAAAACCGAAAGCGACAAACCCCTCGAAACAAACAAAACCGAAAACAAACAAAAAGAACCCAGCCGAACAAAAAAACCGCCAACACAAAGAGACAAAAAAAAAACCCAACAACAACAAAAACAAAATAAAGCGGAGCCTAAAGAGACAGAAAAACTCGGCTACAAAAAGCGAGAAAAGGGGAAAAGGAGGATGAGAAGCGGAGCTGGCGCTACCCACCCGCCTGCTCCACGAAGCTGCGGATGCCCAGGATGTTGGAGACCGAGTGCGCCGAGGGCCAGGAGCGGGGCAGCGGCACCGGGGGAGCGCCGAGGGGCGCGGGGGGGTGCGGGCCGGCCTTGGCCGCTCCGGGGTACGGGCACTGGTAGAGGTGCGCGCAGGGCAGCGCGGGCGCGGGCGGGCCCGCGGGGGCCAGCGGGCCGATCTTGTTGCGCAGGATGCGGCTGATGGAGCTGACCGAGGGCACGTTGTACTTGTCGCACACGCCGTCGGCCAGCAGGCGGTCGCGGATCTCCCAGGCGAAGATGCCGGGGTCGCCCTGCTTGTAGTCGCGGATGTGCTTGACCACGGCCGGCGTGGTGACCCGCGGCTTGCTGCCGCCGATGGCCCCGGGCAGGATGGAGCCCGTCTCGTGGTAGCGGGCCAGGATCTTACTGACGCAGCCGTGCGACACGCGGAGCTGGCGGCTGATGTCGCAGGGCCGGATGCCGAGCTGGGCCAGCTCCACGATGCGCAGCCGGATGGCGTTGGGCAGCGGGCGCCCGTTCACGAACACTCCGCCCAGCTGGTTCACCTCGCCGTACGTGTGCTCTGCGGGGCGGCACGGAGCGGTTCGGCCCGGTTCGGCCCGGTACAGCACGGCACGGCTCGGTACAGATCACGGTGAGGATGAGGAGAGGGGAAAGAGGGGAGAAAAAGAAAAGAAAAAGAAAAAGAAAAAGAAAAAGAAAAAGAAAAAGAAAAGAAAAGAAAAGAAAGAAGAAAAAGGAGAAGAAAGAAGAAAAAAGAAAAGAGGGAGGAAGAAAAAGAAGGGGGGAAGGAAAAAAACAAAACGAGAATGAGAAGGGAAGAGAGAAAGAGAGAAAAAAGAGCCCAAGGGAAGGGAAAAAGGAGGAAAGAAAGAAAGGAGAAATAGAGACAGAAAAAAAAGCGAGATAAAAGTGACAGCATAAAAAGAAGGGGGAGGAAAGACAGGGAAAGAACGAGAGAAAAAAGAAAAGTCAGAAACGATGAGGGGGGAGAAGAAGGAAAGCAAAAAAGGGGAGCGGGACTAAAAGAGAGAAGGCAGCAGAACGGGAAGGGAGAAGGAGTCGCAGGGAGCGAGCGGAGCGCAGCGAAAGCGAAGGGAGGACGGGGCAGCCCGGAGCCCCCCCGGCCGGACGCGGCACCCCGGGACCCCCGGCCGCCTCCTGCCCCTTCCCGGTGCCCTGCTCGTCCCGGAGCCCGTCCCGGAGCCGCCGCACTCACCCATGGCCCGGCGCGGGGGGGACGCAGCCGCGGCATAGAGAGCGAGCCCGGGGCGGCGGGGCCGGGGGTCCTGGCGGTGCCGGCAGCGAGCCCCGCTCGCGGGGAGCCCCCGCAGCTCCTCGGGATCAATTTGACGTGGGAATCACGTCAATCGCGGCCGTCACGGCGGCGGCGCCTCCGCCCATTGGCTCCCGACCGCTCCTAAATGGCCGCGGCCGGCGGGGCCGGGGGGCCGCCCCCTCTGCCCGCCCCCCCGGGCACCGCCGCCACCGGGACCCCCCCGAGCCCCCCGGGCACTGCCGCCCCCTCTGCCCGCCCCCCCGGGCATCGCAGCCCCCGGGACCCCCCCGAGCCCCCCGGGCATTGCCGCCCCCTCTGCCCGCCCGCCACCGGGACCCCCCCGAGCCCCCCGGACCGCGGCTGCGCTCGGTGGGGACACGGCGGGGCTGCCATCGCCCCCTCCCCGAGGGGATCCCACGCGGGACAGGGACAGGGACAGGGACAGGGACAGGGACAGGGCCAGGGACAGGGACAGGGACAGGGACAGGCACCTGCCCCCGCGGCACCCCCTGGACGGGACCCCCTGGACAGGACCCCCGGGACGCGCTCACTTTCGGGGGGCTCCCCCGCAGACCCTCTGCTGCCCAGCCCCCGGAGGCCAAATCCGCCGTTTCAGCCCCAGAAAGTCCCGGCCGGAGAGGCCCCGGAGACCGCGGAGTTTTATCCGGATCCCGGAGTTTTATCCCCGCTCACGGAGAGCTCGCTGGGGAGACCGTGAGTGTTTTCCGCGAACGAGTGCCAGGGTGGGGGCTCGGGGGGGGACAGCGGGGGCTGGGGGGAGCTGTTGGGGGGTTTAAAGCGGGGGGCTCGGGAGGGACAGCGGGGCTGGGGGGAGCTGTTGGGGGGTTTAAAGCGGGGGGCTCGGGGGGCACAGCGTCACCGCGGGCAGGGGGCACCCCCGGGCCGAGCTGCGGCACCGAGTCCAGGCGGGGCCCGAGCGCCGGGAAAAGCCCCGGGAGCGGGAGCGGAGGGGTTAAACTGGAGCCCGGCCGGGACTGGGGGTCCCGCTGCCCCCCGGCAGCCCCGGAGCGAGGAGCTCGCCGTGCCCGGCCCCGGCAGCGCCGTCCGAAGCGGCCGGGGAAGGCAGGTGCGGCTCCCGGGGGATTTGGGGGATTTTGGGGGGGCCAGGCCGGAGGAGCCGCGGCGCTGGAGCATCCTCCGCTCCCTGAGGATGAGGCTTTTCCAAGGGAAAAGGTAGGAAAGGATCCTCCACCTGCTCCCCGCACGCCACCCGCGTCCTTCCCGCAGGAATCCGCTCCTGGAAACAGCCTGGAAAGGGAGCCGAGGGAAAGGGGGAGGGAAGGGAATAATGGAAAGGAAACAAAGGGAGAGAAGGGGGAAACGGAGGGAAATCAAAATTAAAAGTAAATTTAAAATTAAAAGAAGGGAAAAGAAAAAATTAGGAGGGGAGAGATGTAGGTGGTGAAGGAAAGTCAAGCGGGGGAAATGAAAAAGGAAGGGAAAATAAAAGCCAGAAGAAAATAATTTCTAAAATCGGGATAAAGAAAAATAAGCAAGGAAAAGGAAGGGAAAGCAGAAAATAATTAAAAGGAAAGGGGAAGGAAAGAGAGGAGAAGGGAGAAGAAAGGGGCGGCTGCTCAGGTGAGCTGTGGCAGAAAGCCCCGAGCCCTGTGCTCCCTGTCCAGCTCCCTGCGGAGCTCCAGGAGCAGCGCCGGACCCCCAGAGCTGCTCCCCCCGGCCATTCCCTGCCCTGCCCGCGATGGTTTCCATCTGCTCCGGCTCCTCTTTCCCTTCTCCAGCCCCTCTTTCCCCGCTTGAACACCAGCCGGCGTGAAAAAAAAAATATTAAAAAACCCGAATTTTCCCTGGTTTTGCCGAAGCTGCTGGAATTTTGCGGTTTTTTTGTGCCGGGCTGAGCCTCGGGTGACAGAGGCGAGATTTTACCTCATTGATTTTGCTGAATAAAAATCCAGCGGAGCAGGGAGCTCTGCAAGCTTTTTTTTTTTGTTTGTTTGTTTGTTTCTTTTCTTATTTTTTTTAATTTTAAAATAGAAATGTAATGACTACTGGATGGAGAGATGAAGGATGTCAAGGGTGTTCCTCTGCTGCAGCTGCTGGAGATTGGAATAGTTAAAGGTAGGGGGTCCTGGGTGCTTCACCAGTATTTATTCCTGGTTATTTATTACAAAATAATGTTGTTGTTGTTATTATTATTATTATTATTATTATTATTATTATTATTATTATTCCGCAATAGATAACGCTGGTTTAATTCTCATATAGTAACAATATTCTGTTGTTGTGCTGTTATCTAATGCCGCCATCCCGAGCTACATTATTTGGTTGTTATCAGAATTTTTCGCTGATTCAGGAATGCTGCGGCTCTCCCGGGAGTTCACGGAGCTCCTTTTCCATCGGGACCAATCCCAACTGGGAAATCCTGTGGGAAGAGACGCGCTGAGAACCCCCGGTGAGCGCTGGGAGCCTCGGCCTGTGCTCCGTGTCCGACTCATGGCAAAATTCACTCCAAAGGGATTTTTTCCTGCGGCCTTTCTCCCGAACGCAGAGTTTGGAGGAGCCCAGGAAACCTTCCTGGCTGCTGAAGAAGAGAGAAATAAAATCCTGCAGAGCTCCGAGCGCCCCTGCCGGCTCTGCCAAGGCCACAGGTTCGATAATTAACAGTAATATCTGTCAAAGGCAATTTGTCCTCCCCAAAATCCCTCCCTGCCAGAGGCTCCTCAAACCCACCCGGATTAAAACCACACCAAACCCCCCGGGAGTTTGGACGTTTGGATTTTTCCAAATTAATTTTTTCCCCTAAAAAAAAACAACCCCCGAACCCCTCTGCGTTCTGTGATCAGAGATTCTCAACGTGAAAACGAGAGTGAGATCCCGGATCCATAGAATAAAATAAAATAAAATAAGGTAAAGTAAATTAAATTAAAAATAAAATAAAATAAAATAATAAAATAAGATAAAATAAGGTAAAGTAAAATAAATTTAAAAATAAAATAAAATAAAATAAAATAAAATAAAATAAAATAAAATACAATACAATACAATACAATACAATAAAATAAAATAAAATAAAATAAAATAAAATAAAATAAAATAAAATAAAATAAAATAAAATAAATTCCTGGTGGGAAAGGTTGCTGATCCGAGGGCAGCACGGAGCGTTGAAAATCCGCAATAAATCGCATTGGTCCATCCTGCTTTTCTCTTTATCGGGATTTTTCTCCTCCTGCTCTGCCTGGGAAGCGTTTCGGTGCCATTGGAATGCGGTTCCAGCCCCGAGCGGAGCATGGGGATGCGCAGCTCCAGCCGCATCCCGCAGCTCGGGATGTGCCCGGGGTCGCCGTTCCCTCCCAGGGCTGGATATTTAACAAAAACCCGGGATTTGGGGAGAATCCCGCTTGGCGGCGGACTCTGGGGCTGGAAGCGGGGGGGATTGAAGGTTGCTCCCTAAAAATCCTGCCCGGAGCACCCGGGAGAGAGGAGCGGGAGCAGCCGCCGCCTCTGGGAAGGGCTTGGAGAGCCGGGATCCCGCATGGAGCATGGCCAGAGCCGGGTTTGGAGAGCCGGGATCCCGCATGGAGCATGGCCAGAGCCGGGTTTGGAGAGCCGGGATCCCGCATTGAGCATGGCCAGAGCCGGGTTTGGAGAGCCGGGATCCCGCACGGAGCATGGCCAGAGCCGGGTTTGGAGAGCCGGGATCCCGCACGGAGCATGGCCAGAGCCGGGATCCCGCCTCTCCCTGCCCTCATTCCCGGGAAAACCGGCAGCCCTCTGCTGGAAACTCCTCCAGGGGGATCCTGGGGCAGCTCCTTCCCGTGGGGAGCCCTCGTCTGCTCCTGAAATCCCCGGGAATCCTGGAGAGGCTGGAAAAGCCCCCGGGACCGTGGAGCCCCGGCGGCTCCCTCAGCCTGGGGGACATTCTCTGGCTCCTCCGGAGCCCTGAAAGAGCAGCAGGATTCCCTCCTGAATATTTTCCTTGGGATCGAGGTCCCGCTCGAGACTGAGCCTTACCCGGGTGTAAATCCAGGCGGGATCGCCCCCAGCCCCGGGCCGGCTCTGCAAACCATCCCGGGCTGCTGAAGCCATTCCCGGTGTTTTCCCAGCGGGATGGATCCCTGATCCCGGCCCCCGCCGAGCGGGAAGGCCGCGGGCTCGGCCAGGAGCGGGAAGTTGGGTTGTGCTGCTGGAAAAACACCTCGGGGAGGCTGGAATAGCGCCGGGAGCCTGGCGGGCTCGGCTCGGGCTGGGAGCAGGGAACGCGCTCCTCCTGGAAAGGAGCAGATCCGCTGGGATCCGGTGGTGCCAAAGCCGGGCTTTAGGGCTCGGATCGGGATCCCCCGGTCCTGGGAGGGTCTCGTAGGAAAAAGGGTGGGGTGTGCATGGGGGTGGCCTGAAAAGCGGGATCAATAATCCCGAGTTTTCCCGAGGGATGGCTCTGGACACGCCCGGCTGCGCGGCCGGAGGAGGGGGAAGCAAAGCCCCGAATTCCCCCTGGTTTTCCTCCAGGTCCTTTGGGTTGCCACCAAGGTTTAGCAGGTCTGGGTGAATTTTATGGTGCCCAGTTCTGGGTACATAAACACCGAATTTGGGGTTTTCCAGCGTCCCCTGGCCGGGGCAGCAAGCCAGGGCTGTGCCCAGGGTGCCATTCCGGCCATCCCAGAGCAATCCAGAGGGTTTTCCCGGCCTTTGGAGCTGTTTGCCGGCAGGTAAACTTTGTTCAGGGCTCATTTCCCAGCAGGAACGCGGCTCGGTGTGAAAACGCAGAGCCGGGGAGCGGCACAGAACATCACCACCATCCTAAAAGCCCCGAAAAATCACAGCAAAGCCCTGTTTGCTTCTCCCCGTGTGGGAATGGGGGATGTAAAACGGGATTTAAAGCTGGGAAGAGCTGCCTTGTCCGCTCCAGCCGATTCCTTCATCCCAAAAATCCCCCTCCCTCCGCTTCCCATTCCCGCCTGGCAGCTC